TGGGTCTGTGGAGGATTATATTATAATCAGTATGTGTTGCAGCCTACCTGGCAACCTTGGCCTTCAGCTGTTCGATCTTGTGCAGTTCCTCGTCGATCTGCCTTTCGTCGACGGCCAGCATGCGGCCGAATTCCAAGTTCCTCATCTGCTGCGCCGTGATCTGTTCGGTGACCGCACAGAAGTCGTCCAGCACGGCAGCCCGGCACTTTTTGTCCGACTGATCYGCGTCTAGCGCCGTGCACACGGCCGTCGCGCAACTCAAGCTGGTCTGCAGCGAATTCGTCTGTTCGTCGAGCTCGCGCGCGGCCGTCTCGAGCGTCCGGTTGTACTCGGACACGGATCTGATGGCGCGCCAGAGCGTCAGCAGTTCGTCAGTTCTCGACCGACAGCCGTCGCCATCGCGAGCCTCGGCGTCTCGCCGGAGCCGTCGGAAGATCGTAATGGCGGCGTTGGCGTCATCGTCGGCTTCGATGTCATTGTCGTCGTCGTCGATGTCACCGGGCCAACRGGTGCCACGGTCGGGTGACGACGAGTCAGTAAAGGCAGTCACGTCCAAGCACAGCGACTGGAAATTGTGGTCGGCGGCTGTGACGGCCAGCTCTTGCGGTTCGGATCCGTCCACGCCGGCGCCGGAAAACCGGAAGAACCGTTTCTTGCGTTCCTCGTACTCGCCGTGGGCCCGTTCCACGTCCACCCGGAGAGCGTCCACGGTGCCGTCCACGCCGGCCCGCATCCGCTCCAGGCCTTCCAGCAACTCCTCCTTGGACTCGTCCAGCTTGTGGAGCTCGCGCATGTAACGCACCAGGCCGTCCACGTATTCCCGTCGGTTCGACCGTTCCCGGACGATGGCCGACTGCAGCGTCCGCACTCCAGCGTGCAATACTCGTCCGGTGCACACGGTGTCGGTGCACATGAGTTTCAGCTGTTCGCCATTGACGGGATCGAGAAAACTGAAAAACGCAGAAGAGCCCTTCGATTATTAATAATTAAGTCATCGTGTGTGCCCATAATAAGAGTCGGCCGTTTGCTATAGAGCGAAACTTTTTTTTTTTATCCTAAAATTATTACCATAAGCTATAAGCCGTTTGAGCCAAATTGTTTAGCCATTTTCAGTACGGGGGTAAATCAGGGTAAAACACTTATGTCTTATATATGTCGAATATCGGTCATG